TTTGTATTTTTCTCAAAAAAATTGTTGTTGTGATAGAATGTTGGTTGATGACGAACGCAAGTTAATAGCGATGTGAATTAGATAATTTATATATAAATGACTTGGGTGGCATTGTTCTCGATATTCTCTTTCAACCAAACGCAGGGAAAAAAGTAATATTGCAAGACAATAAAATATCAGAGATGATTGAATATATAAAAAGTTTGCATAGAATGTTACGTCATGTCAATCGTCATGTCAACTGATATATTAGTTTTTAGCTAATTATGGAATTCATGTATTCAGATCAGTGTATGATCACGAATAATGGTGACAATTCATGACACTTATTATAATTTGCTGGAATAGTTTTAATAGAATTTTATACATCATATCAAACATTACATCTTTCTTGTGTGGGCGACATATATGTACAGTTCTGGTCACAGTTATTTTGCCACTTTGATGTTTGGTGACATACTCTGGAAACTATAGTTGGGCAAATAATACACCAACACACAAGGTTTTTAATGGAGTAATTTGAAATATATCTTATTAAATATTGACGTCAAATCTACATATGATACTCACATTTACATAATTAGTACATTATTATACCATTCCGTTTATTCAGCATTATTGAACACATGTTATATACTGTTTTTGAATAGTAGTGAGATGTGCATATGTTAATTGTATAATAGAAATACAAGAATATAATATACAACTTTACATATGTGAGTGAAGCACACCACACGACGTCATAGCTAGATTACTGCATTGCTTCTAATACTGCATATTGTGCAATCATTGATATTAACATTATGTATGACTATGTTACATCAGATCACACATCTATGATGATTGCCTGCCAGTGTGGTAGTATGAAATCATGTGACTTAATGATTGAGATGTAAGAAGCGATCAATGCGTCTTGACTGGTCTAACATCTCGATGAAACAAATGAACAATAACGTTCACAACACGCATATAGGCCTGCATAACATTGTTATACCAGTGAATGCCCTGTGTTGTAGGCATGTTAACTGTTAGGATAAACTTAATTTGTTCACTTTGTACACGTCATATAATACTAAATGTGATTTCTGATTGGCTGCGGCGATGATGTCATGTATAAATAATAAGTTGTACCACAATTCCTTGCGTTGTGTTCTTCAGTGTTATCTGTTAATAAAGTACACGCATAGATCACTATGATTCATTATCTAGTCTTGTATTTTACAAGATGGATCAACAATGTCCAACAGGTTATGGGCCCAGGGCGCGGTTGCTGTTTGACGGAGATGAATCGAAGTATGAACTTTAGGAGGTGAAATTCCTCGGTCATGTGCGCCTACAAAAATTGGATGAAGTGATTGCACCAGCCCAAGATGGCGCCGAAGAACCAGATGCGGGTAAAAATAAGGATGCGTATGCCGAACTTGTGCAGTGCCTCGATGATAAGAGTTTATCGCTAGTTATAAGGGAAGAACACAACGACGGACGAAAGGCTCTCAAAGTTTTACGCGAACATTACGTTGGGCAAAGCAAACACCAAGTTATCGCTTTATACAATGAGCTGACGGCCCTGTTGATGAAAGACAGCGAGGATGTGACCGACTATATAATTAGAGCTGAAAGTGCTGCTACGTCACTCAAGGCTGCAGGTGAGGTGATCAGTGACTGTCTTTTAATCGCCATGATGTTGAAAGGACTCACCCCGACATTTGTTGTCGTCATAACTCAGAGGGAGAAACAGCAAACATTTTCAAATTTCAAAGTAGTGGTAAAGAGCTATGAGGAGACCGATAAATGAAGGCCAGCAGCGGGAAAAATTACCCGTGCAAGATGGTGTGATGAAGGTCACGCAAAGCCAACAGTTTTCAAACAGAGAGCGGGCACGCCAGTTCCCTTAACATACGGGAACAAAATGTTACCGATGTAGCAAAATGGGGAAAGTGTTAAATAATATATGCAAACACGAATGAGCAGAATTGTTCCATGAGTTCAGAGAGTATGAAACCATTACCAATCAATGTAGTACTTTAGACAAATCCCCAAAGTATTTTATGAATTGTTTGTTGAAACACTTGTTTGATAAGAAAACAGGTTTTTCAATCATTGAAGTTTTATTTACATTTACAAATTCACAGTTTTTGTGAAATAGTTTGTCTCAACAGAATAACAATCTACTTGGCATCAACAATTTGCTACTATGGCAATATTTTTTACCCTAGGCCAACAATCCAATTTGTGATATATTATGATATATCTGTACCATTTGAAAAAGTGGTAAAATTCACAGTTATGCAGTTATCATTTATTTAATGACACCCTACCAAATAATTAAATATTACACACGTCACCTATAAAACCTGGAATGCAGTGGTATGATGCATTATGTTGCTTTTTCTTCGGCTCCTATGTGTCTCCAATTTCATTCAACAATGTGTAAATTGTAGAAATGTCTGTATGAAATTTGTATTACTGTGTGTCCCAAACATGATGTAAACATTATGTAGGTAGAAACCTTGGTTGCTGTGATAACTGGTTTATGGCTGCAGGTATACATACCTTCATCTTACTACCTGTATTATTATAATTACCTATACAACAAATTCTGCAGCTTTCCTCTGTCTGTCAATTTTAACACATCTTGAAACAGTCTATGTATCTTGCTGTTTTCCTCTTAGAATGTGCCTCACAGCTGTATATATGCCTTTGATTAAGAAAGAGTTGGATGATTTTGTAGATGAATGGAACACACATCGTATACGTAAACAAAATAGAGTCCTACGACCTTGTGGTATTCCTGAAGACATATATAATTTCCCTGAGAATCATGGTTAATATGAACTATTATAATAATACAATTGATTACCGGTATTTTTTTAAAAAGCAATACGACTTTATTCTGGGCATGGGAACTGTTATATATGCAATGTCAGTTGACATATTGTTCAATATATAGGAAGGAGATATATCTGTTGAATGGTCTAGAATATAAGATTTATTAAAAGACTGTAGTCATTTTCATTTAATTTGTTATGAGCTTTTGTCAAGTAACAATTAAAAATTATGAGCACAGATTCAAAACATAGTAGAGCAGTCATTTGCATAAAATGTGACATTTGTTACTCTGAAATTCCAATGATTGATTCATACAGGCACACAATATTATCGATTACCTTTGTTTATTTTAGGGGCATTGAATGTGGTTTCAAACCTTGTCAGTCAGACATTGATGAAATTGCAAGAAGACACAATTTTTTTATGAACATACAGATGGTTATCTACCGGAAGATTTTAGAGAGAAAGTTAAACATTTAATTTTGAATGTTAACATTTCAAATGCAAGACAATGTTGATCTTGAACTTAGAGATCATTTTGCGTCAACTTGTACATAGATAGTATAAACCATTAGCCATGGTTTCACCTTCAAATTCGACAGAATGCTGATTTAAGCACATATTGTGGTGAAAATACTTCAAAATATGTCTAAAATTATTTGTTTTTAGTATTAGTGAACAGTATGTAAACATTCTTAGTTTTTT